AAGACCATAAATAGCCAAAGCAATCTTGAGAAGGAAGAATAAAGCTGGGGGGCTTATGCTCCCCAACTTCAAGCTCTACTACAAAGACACAGTAATCAAGACAATTTGGTACTGGCACAAGAACAGAACCATAGACCAATAGAACAGACTAGACAGCCCTGATATAAACCCAACCATATATGGTCAATTAATATACAATAAAGGAGCCACAGACATACAATGGGGAAATGACAGCCTCCTTAACAGCTGGTGCTGGCAAAACTGGACAGCTACATGCAAGAGAATGAAACTGGATTGTTTAACCCCATACACATAAGTAAACTCAAAATGGATTAAAGACCTGAATATAAGTCATGAAACCATAAAACTCTGTCTTCTAAGACAACATAGGCAAATATCTCCTGAATACAAGCATGAGCAACTCCTTCCTAAACACATCTCCTCGAACAAAGGAAACAAAAACAAAAGAGAACACATGGGACTCCATCAAACTAAAAAGTTTCTGTATGGGAAAGGACACCATCAGCAGAACAAAAGGCATCCTACAGTATGGGAGAATATATTTGTAAACGACATATCCACAAGGGGTTAACATCCAAAATATATAAAAAACTCACATCCCTCAACATCCAAAAAGCAAATAACCTGATTAAAAAATGGGCAGAGGATATGAAGAGACAGTTCTCCAAACAAAATTTTCAGATGGCCAACAGACAGATAAAAAGATGCTCCACATCACTAATCATCAGGGAAATGCAAATCAAAACCACAATGAGATATCACCTCACACCAGTAAGGATGACCAGCATCAAAAAGACTAAGAACAACAAATGCTGGCGAGGATGTGGAGAAAGGGTAACCCTCCTGCATTGCTGGTGAAAATGTAAGCTAGTTCAACCATTGTGGAAAGCAGTATGGAGGTTCCTCAAAAAACTAAAAATAGAAATACCATTTGATCCAGGAATCCCACTCCTTGGAATTTACCCAAAGAATACAACTTCTTAGATTCAAAAAGACATATGCACCACTATGTTTATTGCAGCACTATTTATAATAGCCAAATATGGAAGCAACCTAAGTGTTCATCAGTAGATGAATGGATAAAGAAGATGTGGTACATACACACAATGGAATACTATTTAGCCATAAGAAGAAAACAAATCCTACCATTTGCAACAACATGGATGGAGCTAGAGGGTATTATGCTCAGTGAAATAAGCCAGGCGGAGAAAGACAAACACCAAATGATTTCCCTCATTTGTGGAGTATAACAATGAAGCTAAACTGAAGGAACGAAATGGCAGCAGACTCAGAGACTCCAAGAAGGGATTAGTCGTTACCAAAGGGGAGGGGTGTGGGAGGGAGGGTGCGGAGGGAGGGAAAATGGATTGAGGGGTATTATGTTTAGTACACATGGTGTGGGGGGTCACGGGGGAAACAGTGTAGCACAGAGAAGGCAAATAGTGACTCTGTGGCATCTTACTACACTGACGGACAGTGACTGCACTGGGGTATGGATGGGGACTTCGTAATATGGGTGAATGTAGTAACCACATTGTTTTTTCATGTGAAACCTTCGTAAGAGTGTATATCAATAATACCTTAATAAAAAATTTAAAAAAATGTGAATGGTAGAATAGAACCTAAGTGGTGGTTATATGAATATTCACTATTTAACTTCGCTATCTATTAGAGAGGTTTCATAATGAAATCTTGGGATAAGGAAATTCCCTTAGAGGTGCCTGCTGCTGTTAGTGGTGATCAGCTGAGATCTGCAGCACTAGCTCTTTTGCTGTCAGGTTTTTAGAGAGGCACGTAGATAATAGGATTTCCCTGATAATCCATGAATATGGTTGGAGAAGTTAGGATTTGCTTGACATTCTAGGAAGTGTCATCAGGCTGAGAAAGACTTCCTGAAAAGAACTCTTTCTTTCTTAGACAATAAAGAGACTCAGCAGGTCACACATGGGAAAATGTAGGAGAAAGTAATTCTCCCCAGGAACTCTTTGAAGTCTTGTGTTATTTCAGACCAAATACACCATGAACTGCAATACATCAGAGAAGATTTCTGGTTAAATATTAATGAGTCAGCCTGAGAGGGTGATCCTGGAAACAGATTCTATATTTCTTGTTTCACTTTGATATCCAATATATTGAACAACGTAGAAGTTCCTAAGAGCTAGTGAAGCTGGACCCTTCTTACTTGGGTTACTGAAACAGCTTTCTAAGATTTCTGCTCTCTCCCATCTATTCTCTATAATAATATCACCAGCTGTTATTTTGAGAGCAAGTAAGCCCCTTCTTAAAATCATGAGAAGAGCGTTTTGGGAATGTCTTCACATCCCAACTCTTCTTGCTCTAAAGAACATCATCTCACATGAGGGCCACAGCCTTCGTGTTGTATGAGTTGACCTTACTTGCCCATGCACAGGTGGACATCTGACACAAACTTAGCCCATTTGGTGTTGATGGAGATATGCTAGTCCTAGGCTGGTTGCTGGAACAGAAGCATTTTACAACCAACATATGGAAGCCATGAGTATTAAATAGAAGAGCAGAGGTGAGACTAGACAAGGTAGATACCTATGACCCTGATAGCTTTCTTGTTCTTCGTTCCTGGCCCTTTGAAGCCCAGCTGTGTTTCTGCTGTTGAATTGGCAGTTATTTCCTTGCGTCTATATGCACTCATTTAATTTTTGAGCTAGTTTAAGTGGAATTTTGTTACATCCAAACAGAAGAGCTTTAAGATAGCCCTACTGTTAGGGTGAAATTCAAACACTTCAGCATGGTCTGCAATGTTTTTTCTGATCTGGAGCCTACCCCCTACCCCCTGCCTCCATTTTACCTCTGACCTCTCAATCTGCACCATGCATAATTTAGCTCTGATCAATCTCCTTTCCTCACTTGGGTACTTTAAGGCTCAGCTCCTCCAGAAAAGAGACCCTGATACCTTCCCAGCCTCTGAGGTATCCCTTTCTTCTGTAATTTTCACATTGGGTGTTGCACCTGGTGGCTTACTTGTGCCTCCTGTACTAAACTTTGTGGACAGTTATGACTAGGTCTTATTCATATTTGTAAACTCTATGCTGGTGCTGAGCCCTTAAAAGCAAATAAATAAATAGCAAATTAAATGAAAAAAAAAACCCCACAACATATTCATAATAAAAGTACAGTGTTGATACAAAAATTAGATTATAAATCTGAACCTTACAATACAGCAAAGTAGTTAAGAGTGTAGGATTTGGAATCAGACTACTACACAGGTGAAACCTGCCTATGTGACAGGGTTATGAGGATTAAAAGATATAATTTATGTAAACCATTTAGAACATTGGCCTGGGATATTAAGCACTTAATATGCATTCAATAATCAGTAGACTTCTTTATTTATTGATCCTGTATTTAGGAACTCAGTGACACATGGCTAAGACTCCTACAACTGTAGGAATCAGTGACTCCAGAAAGCAATGGAAAATTACAAAAGCAGCCATTGTCAAAATTGAAGAAGCTAAACTGGGATTACCCTTTTATGAGAGCTGTTTGTAGGCACATCATACTGGGCTTTGGTTACTGTCAGAGCAAAGGTGTTTTATGGGTCTTCTTTTATGTAAGAACTGCAAGGTCTGACCACTGTCTCAGGATGTGGCTGTTGCCTGAGAGCCTGCCTCGGAGAAGTAATCATTTCCCTGCCAACCCAAACCCAGTAGGGGAAGCCCCTCACGGTGACGTGCCCTCCCCTCTCCTCTCACCATTACTATAGATGAGCGAGTGATCAGACCTGACCTCCAGCCACAGAGCCCACAGCCCCACAGAGAGGAGATGGAGTGAGTTAGAAAGAAGATAACCCCTTCAGTTAGTTCCTTGGAGGCCCAACCATCCTTCCTGGATTGGATTCTCTGAGATTTCCCCATATTCTTTCAACTAATTTCCTTTCTTAAACTGGCCTGAGTGGATTTCAGTTTGTTTAGTTTTAATGCTCAAGACAAAAGTTGGTATGAAGATTGGGGGAGCACAATGCTGCTGTAGTGCTGGAGTGGAGAGGGGTAGTTACTGAGAATCTCAGCGTGGGGATCTGGCAGTCTAGGTGAATAAAGTGGAAAGGCAGCTAGCTAAATCCCCACTGGCAATCCTAGTCCACATGCCTACTGCTGGATCAAGGTGGCCAACTACCATATCAGAATGTGATCACTCCTTGGGGGCTTGAGGGAAGTACAATAGAGAGAGTCTATTTATGGGGCACAGCTGGAAGCAGATATAGTAAGGGAGAGATTTTTTTCCCTCCTTAACCCCTTTTTTCCAGCTCCTTTCCACCCCCACCTTAGAGAGTTTTGGTAAAACAATGCATCAGAGTCATACTGTGAGCGTTGGCCAATGTTAGCAAGCTGTTAATTGTTGTTGCTTCCTGTCTTTTGAGCAAGAATTAAAGCCTTCTCCTGTGCGCCTCTGTAAGCACCTCCACCTGAGTGGTAGATAAGTTAAAGGGCATCACTGCAGGGAAAAGGATGAACAAAGTCACCCAGATGTCCAAGGCAGGCACAGGGACTCTGTACAGACTGGACACTGGAAAGCACTTAGTGAGAAAAGCATAGAGGTATTTGGCACCATCCAGAGGACACCATGTGTTTGGGACCCAGCTAATACATCAGCACCTATGCATGATAAATTTTTATTTCCTAACATTTGTAATAATACATTTACTATGTACCTAATGCTTTATACATATTAATGACTCAAGGAATATTGTTTACTTCCTATGAGATGAAGAAACTGAGATTTAGACCTTATATAACTTGCCAATGCTAAAATGATAATGACTTATTTACAACTAGTAAGGAGTAGAGGTAGGATCTGAACAGCGGCCAACAGAATTCAGACTTTCCACAAATCATGCTGCCTCAGTTTACTCTAAACAGATTCAAAACACAGATATAAAAGGATATGGGGTTTAAGTGAATACTGTAATGTTTCTACTTTTGATATTAATGCGAACACACAGCTTATGAAATCATTCTCAAGTGTTTAATTAAAATCCATATAGCATTTAACATGTATAGATGTTTAAACTCTTTCAGTGACTCTTATATTTTAAAATCTTTTGCACACGTTTTGAGGCTAACTTCATGCTAGAAATCTACAAATGTACAACAACACAAAAATACATTCAGAGTCCATTCCAATGCAAGTTTAAAATGCTTTAATTGCAGACAATGTAAAGATATTTAAAAAAGGAAAACTACAAAATGAGCACATAAAAGTCTTCCCTTTTGAATTTTTAATAAAATACTGCTCTGTATAAGATCTAATGAAAAATTCTAGTTACTTATAAAATAGCTATGTGTGGAAAGAAATGAATTAAGATATATATGTATGAATTTTATTTAATTATATTGTTTAAATGAACAGGATGTCAAACACTTTGATGATACAGCACATTATCTATTACTCACATATCAAAATAGATAAAAATACTCAAAGAAGCAACTGGGTGCAGGTGAAAGAAAATGTAAGAGATTTGAGGCACCACTCCCCTACTCCCCCACCAAAACAAAATCCTAAAACAAACAAAAAAGTCCTTTAACTATAAGGGAAAGAAAATAATAAAATTACTTAAAGCAAACTGTGGGTCAAATTCCCACACTTTTATTTTGTGAGAAACAGTATGAGAATTTGGCTTCAGATTACTGAAACATCCACAGAAATGTAATTATTTGGCCTGGGCAGTAGAATAATATACTAATTGCTGAAATAGTCAAATGCAATAGGTGCACTGCTGGAAAAAATTAATTTTTACATGTTTACATAAAACTTTATTGGAAACCAGAGTCTCCATCACAAATTGCACTTACGATGGCTGAATGCATTGACTGAGCAAGGCGTTATTGTTGATTCACACACATACACAAAGAAAGCAGCTATGGATCGCTGACATTCTTAACTCCTAAAACTATTTCGCACATTTCTCTCTCTCTGGAAGTAGGATCAGTGGTGCCCAAGTTGCTAGCACTGAGGCCTCTGCCCCGTCTGTTGGCTGGGCCCTCCTGCTCCCTGGCAGAGGGCGGAGAGGTCTGATGGAAATACGAACCAGCTTAGTAGGAGAAATATTCAGTTCTGGAAAAATCGATCTTCATATTGCCTAGGAAAGAAAGCTCTTTGCAAAAAAGATGATGTCACTGACAAACCTTACAAAGTGTACATGAAAAGCATGGCCAGTTTGAGTGCTATCTCTAGAAAAGTGATAAGGGAACTTCAGTGATGGATTTTGATTTAAAGGCAGAGAATGCCTGTCACGGTCATTTCTTTCCAATAAATTAATTCACTATAATAAAAACAATTTGGAGGCAAGATGACACTAAGAAATATAGCAAGCTCAAAGAGCTGGGAAATTGTGCATAGTTGCTTTAGAAAAGATTCTCTGAACAATGAGATAAAGCATGTTAAAACTAACTTTGGTAGAGATCTGGACAGTTCTATCTTAAGGTAAAAATTAGACAAGCACTATGAAAACATATGATTTGTTTCATACAAATGGAACAGATGGTTAAAAAGTAAGCAAATAAAAAAGCCCTGTACCTTATCTCTTTCGTTGCGCTATCGTCTGAAAATGCAGCGCTTGCCTATGTCTTTTTTAACTGGTTTCCTTCCTCCGACAGCCTTCCTCTCTGACCCTCCCTTAAAACCAAGAATCTAGATTAATTTGAAAATACCAGTCTAAAACTAAAGCAAATACCTGATCATAGAAACAGAAATAACAAAAGCCTGTATCAAGAGTTCTTCATTCCTCCTACCATTTAGGAAAAAAAATCCCAAAACCTCCTTACCTTTTTAGTTCTAGAAGAACTACTTATCCTTCTGAAAAGCAAGGAAAATCTTAAATTGAAACCAAAGATGAAATATAATTTCATACACAGAGATGAAATTAATTTTTCATGTAACCGAATGTCAGGTGTTTAAGACTTCAGTCTGCATGTTTAAATCAAATCAGGTAATGACCAGGTAATGTAGGAAATTGTGAAAAGGCACATTGAGACTGGAAAGATCAATCTTCAAAACTCACTTGATGTGCTCAAAAGAAAAAGGAAAACAAGTGAATGAGGATATTTAGGTTTAACAGCTTTTAGCTATGTGGAAACATGAAGCATTTTGGGGAACCTGTTCCTCAATGCCCTACACAGTCCAGTTTTCACAGAGCCCACAGCAGGTTCAGCAGCTGAATGGGCTTATTTCTAAACTCTGGTCTGAGTGTGCCCCATCCAAAAGGGAAAAACTGTTAAGTTTCCCAAACTATATAGGATCCACTCTTCTCAAGATTATTACAAGGTAAGAACAGCCTCAGTCTCTTATGTCCTCCACAGGGAGGGCACATCTATTGACCTCAGGCCCACAAGTGGAAGAGGTCTACAAGGGTAAAAAATACAGATGAATGCCTGCCTGCCTGACACTAACTTATCATTATGGATTTCCCTGTTATCTTAATCTCTTTTTAATTACAACCTTCAGAATAATATGTTTGAAAAATAAGAGAAGAAGGAATGAAAAGAAAACACTTTTACTGCCTATCCATATAGAATTGTCAACTTGCTTTGCACAAGTATCTGTGGCAATATCCCAGGGTTCAGTGGCACTATGCTTACTGGAATCTATCTTGGGGTTTTTTTCATAAGACAGCAGCGCTCCTTCCTCTGAGCTCTGAGCGGTGCAGGTTTATAGAGTGGTCACACAGAAGTGATGAGTGAGGCAATTCTTGAATGCTGGGGTTTGTACAGTTATATAGAGTAAAAAATATGATATAGTCTAAAGTATTAAGAGGCTAACAGAACATTATTGCCACAACTTAACTTTTTTGTATTGTATTTTCATAATAGAAGTTTCCTTTTAAGACAGAGTTTATGAGGCAGTATGGACAAACACTGAGAATTACTTGAGCCTCATTATTCAAGACCCCACTACAGACAAACAAGCATTCCCGACAAGGAAATGTTGAGAACTGATGAACATCTTAATCTAGGAAATTAATAGAAATTAAATCACAGAAACTCCATGAGTATAATGATGACAGATAAAGAACATTTTTCTCTTATACTAAAGGCACTACTAATATACAAATACCCTATTAACATTTAGATAAACTCTGAAATCAGCAGAGAGAGGAAAAAATTCATTTAGTTTAATACTGGCATCTTTTAAAACACACTACTTTAAGACTCATGGGAGAGTTTTCAATAAACTAAATAAAACTGGATATAATAATAAGCAGCTCCATATAAAGATTACAGTTCCTACTTTTAAAAAAGTATAACTTATTTCCTTTAAAATATAGGCATATCACAAAAACTAAGGATAAATATATATATATAAAAACTCAGGCCTGTATGTACCACTGAGGAATTGTCATAAATTCTAAAATAATTTCAATAGCCACAACTTGAACAACACACACCCACACATACATGCAAAGACAAAATGCCAGAGTCATTGAACAGTTCAGCATAAAGCTAAAACTATGGAAATAAAATGAGATAGGCATTTGTCATGTAAATAATATATATCATAAACTGATTGTGCCTATATTATAGCACACCTTGGAATATAAAAAAAAAAATTAGAATGTCATCAGTCCCAGGAAGCACACTACACATGGACCAACAATGGAGCTCTCATGGATTTAACTAAGCAGGTAAAAAGCTATATAAAAGAATAACACAATTTATTAACACAATAATTAACATGATCAATATATTTACTTTATTCTATATTAGAAGATTAATTTGTAATCATTGTACCCTGTAGATTTTTAAACTTAATTTTATTAGAAATTACTAATGCTGGTTTTGAGTAATCTGAAAAATTATAATTACTTATTCAAATCTAGATTGCTATTTATAGATCTAAGTAGTTAAATGAAGTATTCTGATCAATATTCTAAAGTTGCTTTGGTACAAATTTAGAATAAAGCAAAACTGGCAGCACCACCACAGTGTCATCATTTCACAGCAGGTCTAAAGGAACCTCAAAGACAACAGAACATAAATTAAAATACTTGTAAATAAGAGATATTCTTCTGACAATTTTACATCATTAAAAAGAGAAATGAAATCCACATTCAGTAAATTATACTTGAGGCCCAATTTTCATGCTCCATTTAATTGTCCCTCAATGATAGCGTAAAAAACATTTATTATTATTATTGTAATATGATATCTAATTCATAGTTTAGGGTATGTCTAATGGTGAGGCCAATAGTTAGAATGGTACATTTTAATGCTTAGTCCACTGATACTATTTTAACACAAGGCTTAATTTAGTTTTCTTTTTTTTACAGTTTTACTGAGGTATAATTGCTGTAAAACAAATTGTACATATCTAAGATGCACAATTTGATATATGTTTTTACACAGCATGAAAGTGCCTGACAACTAAAAAATTAAAAATTATCAACTGAAATGTATTATTTTAAAATAGCACATTCTAAGTTTTTATGAGACACAGTTAGGGATTTTTAAAAAGGTGGGTGGAAAGGAAAGAATTTAATTCTAAGTACCAAATTTATTCAGATGGTTTAGAGACACTAAAATTGACAGCCAGTTTTCTTGCTCTTCTTCTTGAGGAAGAGTTTGGCGTTGTCTTACGGTGAGACATATGGCCTTGGGAAGCAGCTTCAGCTTGCAAAGAAGATGCAGGCTGAGTACTCTGAGAGGACTTTGAGGAAGCTGATGAACTCTCCTGTGGAATCACTTTGGTGATGTCAGAGGATCCTGGCTCGCTAGTGTGAAGTGGGGTGGCTTGAGAACTCAGGGCCTCCTTACTCTCAAAGTTCTTTTTGTTTGCAACCCTTTTTTTAGTAACCTATAAGGAATAAAAACAGCATTAACAATGCAAGCAAAAAAACATGATGTCAGAAAATACCACAAACCATGTTGCTAATATTTGTCAATCACTGCTGACTTGTGAATTTCCACTTATAATCTACAAAGCAGACTTTAGAAATTAAAGGAACTCAGTTATGAATAAAATACTTAAAAATTCTCCATAATTATAATATAATAAAGAAAATTTATATTCCTGATTTTAAATCACTTTGTGATAGAAAAGGATATTATTACTTGCTGCAATTATCATTATTTATTAGAACACAAATTCAGACAGCAGGGACCAGGTCAGACTGGTTACCACTGGTCATAAATATATTCTCAGCACCCAGAACAGTAGTGGGCTTCTAGTTGGCAATGAATAAGTAATTATTAAATAAACGGAATTTTATAAATTGCCTTCGAGCATTGAAAAATTAATTCTCTTAAAAAATACAAGTTCTATTTCCAGGTCTCACCTGTAGAGGTATGAACTGGTTGTGCACACCACCTGGCATTCCGCCAGCCATGGGCATGGTCCCGGAATAGAAAGTATGATGGAAGGGCTTCCCTGGAACTGCAACTGGTGGTCTCCATGGCACTGAGCCAAAGAGATGAGATGATGAAGCCATTATATTAGCTGTCAAAAACCATGAAAATTTCTTTTTAGTAAAATGGTATCATCAAAGCCCTGGAATTTAGGACCTCCTTTGGCTACCTTTCTTTGGCTTTTTTCACTTTGGCCAAAGGCATACACTTAACTTCTGATTAATCTTGCTTACAACATTCAACCTCAGGAAACCCCCCTCCCCCCACCCCCACCACTGCCTCTCCTTTGGATTGTGAATTATGTACAGAAGTCAGCTTACCATATGTTGTCTGGTTTACAAAGGCCAATAGTGCCATATACTGATAAGAGCTCTAGGAATATATGTAATACTATTTAAAAAAATAATAAAAAGGGTCATGAAACGGTTCCTTAGGAAGAAAAACCAGGGCATAAAGAGAGAAATCTTAAGGATCTCACCTGCCCCCATTGGTAAGTTGCTTCCATAGTGATCCCAGCCTACAAAAAAAAAAAAAAACACAAAAGAAACTTAAGTCTGAAAATCTGATCACTTTCATAGGATATGTAGAATTTTTTTCTTTAATATTTGTAATGCAAGAATTTTTTTTAATTTACATTTTGTTTCATATTAAAAGTGCACTGAACCAGTGGTTCTCAAATTTGATCTATGTATCTGAATTACCTGAGGAGCTTGTGAAATACAGATTCCTGGACAAGGCTTCAAACCTAAACCAGACTGGGAGGGCCCAGGAATCTATTGTTGAACAGCACCGTTAATAACAGCACAGTTTTTAGGAATTACTGCATTAAATAATGAAAATCAAGACACTAGTACATTGACACTGAAGAAGATATGAACTGTGTTCAAACCTTTTCAGAGAGATAAAAAGGCAGCCAGACATGTAAGACAGTATAGTTTAATTAAAGTTCAGCCACTTAAGAAATTTTTGGTTCACGAGAGAAGAATCATAATATATTTTAGTGTGATGGATTATAAATTCCAGGATGAAGAAAACATTTAATATGAAATACTCTAAACACAACTCAGAAAATTAGGTCTTGTGACTACCTATAAGCAACTTTGGTAGCAGGCAGAAAGAGTATCTATTTAAAAGATGCTATGTTAATCTTATGCATAGATCAGCTCCACAATTTCCAATAAGTCACTGTTCTAAATATAAAATACATTCCCCTCCATTTTTTTCCACTAGAACTTTTTCACACCATGAAATAGAAATCTACAAAATAACTTCAAAATATTAATCTGATGCTTAAGTTTTTTTCTCCTAATTAACATTCAAATCTCTTGATTTTTACTTATATAATTTAATTGTAACTTTGGAAAGCACTTATTACAGGACCAAAAGAATTCCAATTATAATCTTAAATTCTTGGTAGGCATGAATACACTATAATAAACATACACAATAATGAACATAAATACAATAATCAACATGAAAAAGGTAAAAAAACAAGCTGTAAATATTGGTAATAGGGAAAACAATCATTCCTTTTAGATAATATATCTCATAACCTAGACACACAAACTACTTACAATTAATTTATATATAAGTATTTTTTAAAGTGAAGAGGCAGTCAAACAGATTTTGCAGTTACCACAAGAGCTATATGCAAACATCAGATCCATTATGTCAAAAATACTTGACTAAAACATTATTTATGTAGGCAAAGGAATTCCAGTGTAGTTAAGTAACAAAAGCATGGGCTTTGGAATCAGATTTTGGTTTGAATGCTGGTTCTGATACCCAGTAACTTAAAACTTTAGACAAATTATATTTTAAAAAAATCAAAGTACTACATACACATTGTTACACAAAAAAAATTTCAACATGATACAGCAGCTTCATTTACCATCCCAGATCTGTTTTGGCTATTTATTTCCACACTGTTCAATAATTTGCTTATGCTACTAGACAGTGATTTTTCACTTTCAGGTACTTCTAGATCTGACTTCCTATTGAGATAGGCCAAAATCCAGTACTTGCCCTGTCCTCCCACTGTAACTATATCACAGTATTTGTTTAAATGTGTAAGCAGTGTTTATGGTATGTGATTATGTAAATGCTGTTATTGCAGAGATGAGTAGGGTACTCTCATGTTTTTCTTGTAAAACTTTTTTTTTCTCTTTTAAAGTAATTATATTTTTAAAACTCTTTAGTCTTCTATGTACCTATCCTTAATGTTTTTCCAAATGCTGCTACTCATCTATCAGATAATTATCTTACCGGCCAAGACCTCCCCCTTCCAACTGGGACTAGTTACTTCCTAGACCCGTTGATCATCTGGCATCCTGGGATTTCCATTTATTGTGTAAATACATTAGATCTCTTGTGGTTTAGTCTCATGGTTTTTTCTCTGTTTTTAAAACTACTGCTTTGTTTTGTTGTAGCACATAAAGCAGTAGCTTCTTAAGAAAGGGTGCATAAGAATTACATTTACATGTCTGAAAATGTCTTTATTTTACCCTTGCACTAGATTTATAGTTTGGCTATACTGAGAAATCTATGAAATGACTTCTGCCTCAGAATTTTGAAGTATTCAATGAGCAAGTGCTTCCTAGTTTCTGTTAAATACTGCAATACCTTTCTGATTCTTGATCTTTTATATGTATTTCCCCTCTTTGACCTCTCCAAAACATCTCTTTATCCCTGGTATTCTGAATTTCAAGGCAGTCTGTATCTCTTTTCATTTATTATGCTAAGCATTTGGTGGCCCTTTCAATTTAGTGATGTATGGCCTTTAATCAAGGGAATGTTCTTATTTGTTTGATACTTTCCTCCTTCCAATTATCTCTGGTGTCTTTTTCTAGAACTCCTTTAGACAGTTGTTGGATCTATGCACTGTTCTTCTAAATTTCCCTTCTTTCTTATTTCCACCTTTTATCTTCTCTTTTTCCTGAGATTTCCTTGGCTTTGCTAAGGCTTTATCTACTAAATTTACTCAACAATTTAACTCTTCAATTACTTTTTTTTCATACATTCTTTTTATTTTTCTTCATTCAATACAGTTTTATATTTCTTACATTATCTCTGTTTCCAGGACCCTTTCATTTCTTTTATTTTGGGCTCTCTCTTTTGATTTTAGAGAATTTCCTAAAATGTTCAGGATCTCTCAAAGTCTGATATCTACTCATACTAAAGAGCAAGATACTAAAACTGTGATAGAAGCAGTGTGTCTATGTGGGGAGGGAACAAGGGCTTGATGACTTGAGGGCTTTTCTTTTTTTTTTTCTTAAGGTATCATTGATATACATCTTAAAAAGGTTTCACATGAGCAACGTTGTGGTTATTACATTCGACCACATTATTAAATCTCCTCCCCACACCCCATTGCAGTCACTGTCCATCAGTGTAGTAAGATGTATAGAGTCACTATTTGCTTCTCTGTGCTGCACTGTTGAGGACTTTTCTTTATGATGATTGGATAATGAGCCAGCCTTTTGGTTGAAACACCCTCCCAAAGTAACTAGGTCTTTTCTTTGGACAGTGAATTTCTCAAAAGAACCATCCTCTAACTTCTTATCTGGGGTAAGGCTGGCTACAGCCTGGGGACAGGATGCGGAAATGGAACTTCACTTTTTTTTAAAATTAATTTTTAAATTTTGGTATCATTAATATACAATTACATGAGCAATATTATGGTTCTAGACTCCCTCCATTATCAAGTCCCCACCACATAACTCCATTACAGTTGCTGTCCATCAGTGCAGTAAGATGCTATAGAATCACTACTTGTCTTCTCTGTGCGTATACTGCCTACCCTGTGACCCCCCTACATTGTGTGCTAATAGTAATGCCCCTTTCCCCCTTTTATCCCCCATTATCCCTCCCTTCCCAACCATCCTCCTCAGTCCCTTTCCCTTTGGTAACTGTTAGTCCATTCTTGGGTTCTGTGAGTCTGCTGCTGTTCTGTTCCTTCAGTTTTTTCTTTGTTCTTATACTCCACAGATGAGTGAAATCATTTGGTACTGGTCTTTGTCCACCTGGCTTATTTCACTGAGCATAACACCCTCTAGCTCCATCCATATTGTTGCAAATGGTAGGATTTGTTTTCTTCTTATGGCTAATATTCCACCGTGTATATGTACCACATCTTCTTTATTCATTCATCTACTGTGCTTCGGTTGCTTCCATTGCTTGGCTATTGTAAATAGTGCTGCAATAAATATAGGGGTGCTTTCAAAAGTATCTTTTCAATGTGCCTGTTGGTCTTCTGAATTTCTTTGGAGAAGTGTCTATTCAGCTACTCTGCCCATTTTTTAATTGGATTATTAGCTTTTTGTTTGTTGAGGTGCATGAGCTCTTTATATATTTTGAATGTCAACCCCTTATCGGATATGTCATTTATTCTCCCATATTGTAGGATGTCTTTTTGTTCTAATGATGGTGTTCTTTGCTGTAGAGAAGCTTTTTTAGTTTGATATAGTCTCACTTGTTCATTTTTGCTTTTGTTTCCCTTGCCCGGGGAGATACGTTCATGAAGAAGTTGTTTATGTTTATGTCCAAGAGATTTTTGGCTATGTTTTTTTCTAAGAGTTTTATGGTTTCATGACTTACATTCAGGTCTTTGATCCATTTTGAGTTTACTTTTGTGTATGGGGTTAGACAATAATCCAGTTTCATTCTCCTACATGTAGCTGTCCAGTTTTGCTAACACTAGTTGTTGAAGAGGCTACCATTTCCCCACTGCATATCCATGGCTCCTTTATTGTATATTAATTGACTATATATGCTTGGTTTAATATCTGGACTCTATTCTGTTCCACTGGTCTATGGGTCTGTTCTTGTGCCAGTACCAAACTGTCTCGATTACTGTAGCTTTGTAGTAGAACTTGAAGTTGGGAAGCAATATCCACCCTGCTTTATTCTTTCTTCTTAGGATTGCTTTGGCTATTCGGGGTCTTTTGTGGTTCCATATGAATTTTACAACTATTTGTTCCAGTTTGTTGAAGAATGCTGTTGGTATTTTTTTTTTGGTATCATTAATCTACAATTACATGAGGAACACTATACTTACTAGACTCCCCCCATCACCCAGTCCTCCCACATACCCCATTACAGTCACTGTCCATCAGCGTAGTAAGATGCTATAGAATCACTACTTGTTTTCTGTGTTGCACAGCCCTCTCCATGCGCCCCCCCATTATGTCTGCCAATAGTTATGCCCTCCCCCTTTTTTCCCCTTATCCCTCCCTTCCCACCCATCCTCCCCAGTCCCTTTCCCTTTGGTAACTGTTAGTCCATTCTTGGGTTCTGTAAGTCTCTGCTGTTTTGTTCCTTCAGTTTTTTTCTTTCTTCTTATACTCCACAGATGAGTGAAATCATTTGATAGCTGTCTTTCTCCGCCTGGCTTATTTCAATGAGCATAATACCCTCTAGCTCCATCCATGTTGTTGCAAATGGTAGGATTTGTTTTCTTCTTATGGCTGAATTATATTCCATTGTGTGTATGTACCACATCTTCTTTATCCATTCATCTACTGATGGACACTTACGTTGCTTTCATTTGTTGGCTATTGTAAATAGGGCTGCGATAAACATAGGGGTGCCAATGTCTTCTTGAAACTGGGAAACTGCATTCTTAGGGTAAATTCCTAGGAGTAGAATTCCTGGGTCAAATGGTATTTCTATTTTTAGTATTTTTGTGGAACCTCCATACTGCTTTCCACAATGGTTGAACTAATTTACATTCCCACCAGCAGTGTAGGAGGGTTCCCCTTTCTCCACATCCTCGTCAACATTTGTTGTTGTCTGTCTCTTGGATGGTGGCCATCCTTACCGGTGTGAGGTGATATCTCATTGTGGTTTTAATTTGCATTTCTCTGATGATTAGCTATGTGGAGCATCTTTTCATGTGTCTGTTGGCCATCTGAATTTCTTCTTTGGAGAACTGTCTGTTCAGCTCCTCTGCCTTTTTTTTAACTGGATTATTAGCTTTTTGTTTGTTGAAGTGCATAAGCTCTTTATATATTTTGGATGTTAACCCTTTATCGGATCTGTCATTTATGAATATATTCTCCCATACTGTAGGATGTCTTTTTGTTCTATTGGTGGTGTCCTTTACCGTACAGAAGCTTTTCAGCTTGATATAGTCCCACTTGTTCATTTTTGCTTTTGTTTCCCTTGCCCGGGGAGATATGTTCATGAAGAAGTTGCTAATGTTTATGTCCAGGAGATTTTTGCCTATGTATTTTTCTAAGAGTTTTATGGTTTCATGACTTACATTCAGGTCTTTGATCCATTTCGAGTTTACTTTTGTGTATGGGGTTAGACAGTGATCCAGTTTCATTCTCTTACATGTAGCTGTCCAGTTTTGCCAACACCAGCTGTTGAAGAGGCTGTCATTGCCCCATTGTATATCCATGGCTCCTTTATCATATATTAATTGATCATATATGTTTGGGTTAATGTCTGGAGACTCTATTCTGTCCCACTGGCTGTGGATCTGTTCTTGTGCCAGTACCAGATTGTCTTGATTACTATGGCTTTGTAGTAGAGCTTGAAGTTGGGAAGCGAGATCTTCCCTGCTTTATTCTTCCTTTTCAGGGTTGCTTTGGGTATTCGGGGTCTTTGTGGTTCCATATGAATTTTACAACTATTTGTTCCAGTTTGTAGAAGAATGTTGTTGGTATTTTGATAGGGATTGCATTGAACCTGTATATTGCTTTAGGCAGGATGGCTATTTTGACAATATTAATTGTTCCTATCCATGAGCACAGGATGTGTTTCCATTTATTGGTATCTTCTTTAATTTCTCTCATGAGTGTCTTGTAGTTTTCAGGGTATAGGTCTTTCACTTCCTGGTTAAGTTTATTGCTAGGTATTTTATTCTTTTTGATGCAATTGTGAATGGAATTATTTTCCTGAATTCTCTTTCTGCTAGTTCATCATTAGCGTATAGGAATGCCACAGATTTCTGTGTATTAATTTTGTATCGTGCAACTTTGCTGAATTCCAATATTAGTTCTAGTAGTTTTGGAGTGGATTCTTCAGGGTTTGTTATGTACAATATCATGTCATCTGCAAAGAAGGAACTTCACTTTAATCTCAGTTTTCAGTCTAATACCTAATTCTCTACTCTGTGCCTGGTGTACCCATACCTAGGGAGCACTCAGGATGACATATCTCCAGTCTTTTGCAGAAGAGGCAAGTGCTGGGTGGTGTGTGCGAGGGATCTGGGGAAGGTTCCATCACTCCACAAAAAGACTTTGAACCAATCCCTTTCTTTTCAGCTTACACATCATTTGAAGCTCTGATGGCTTCTGACACTTCCAAGTTCTGACTCTCTTGGGAATTGTGAAGGACAATTTGCTATCAGCTCATTTGCACCCTGTTCTACAGACAGGGTTTAGTTTGCAGCTTAACACTGCTTCACTGAATTGCTTACTATTTCTTCAATTGCCTTTCTCATCACAAATTTTTTTCAAATATCTAATTTGCTGATATTTCTTCTCTCATGTTTTTGTCCTTGTAAGTTTATACTTTTAATGGAGTTTAGGCAAAGAGAAGAGATAACATCTTTAATAAGAATTGTTAACTTTCCTAATATTTGTAGTGACGTAGATAAACTTATCTATGGATATTTAGAGCTCTTTGAATAATAATCTGGCATCTAATAGGCTCAGAAAAGTAATTTTCTGCACTTGAAATAAAAAATATACTGGTTCTAAAATGATAATGATTGGGATAGGAGGAAACTAACTGCTATTAGGAAAAAGGGGTGATGAAAAAAATATCTAATGAACTTAAGATTCAGAATCACAAAATTATAAAATATTAGTCTCCAAGAGATCCTAGACACAGTCTAGTATAAATAAGAAAACAAGAGTCCCAAAGAAATTACATCATTTTCTGAAAGTCAGTCAATAAAAGAGGCTGGACAAAAAGAAAAGTCCTGAATCTACAGTGACCTTGTCACTCCCCCAGCACATTAGGAAGTCATCAACTGTATACAGGGAGCTGGGAGTCACTTGCTTGATAACTCAGGCACTATGTTTAAAGGAAGAAGACAGTTAAGAGAGAATACTAAGAAATATACAGCAACCTTAAAAACTCCTCCACTGATCATTCTGGTATTGTCAAGGACAGTTTCTTTCATATCCACAGAATCAAAGCTTTACTTGGCTTTTTATTCCATTCACTCCCTTTATCCCCCACAACCTATGTTACTGGTGTCTAACTTAAAAGAGAGGCTGCCCAAAACAAAGAACCACCCTACTCTAGCCACACTAGAAGCTGGAGAAGGGAAGTATTTGTAGACGAATATGAAAACTCTGGTTTTGGGGTTACTTCTTACAATTCTTTCTTACATTCCCAAGACACTGAGATAAGTTTTGGGGCTCCTCTAAATGATGCTTCTTAAAAGAACTTTCTAAAAATAATAATTCAATAATAACAAATATTTGGAAGAGCAAAATATCTTACCAGTAGGTTGGGGAAAAACTGGAGGAATGGATCCAGGTGATACAGCAGGAGGATAATTTGGAAATATTGGTGGACACAAAGGGAAATTTACTCCTAAGGAGCCCTATGAAAATTTAATAAGAGTAATAAGACAGTGCAAAAAAAAAATCTATGAAGATTAACTAAAAAGTTAGCAGAGAAGTCACAGACAGTTCTCACCAATTGTAAAGCAAACAGTGCGGCTTTTTCCTTGGCTTTGTTCTCAGAATGGCACTGTGTACCAGTAAGCCAATAGATAATTTTACCTGGCAAACTGTCATTGTCTGAAAATGAGAATACGAATGTCTGTGAGTTTTCTATCTAGGAAGTTGACCTCCTATCCCAAAGCTTAATCTAAACAAGCAGAATAATTTTATCTGACATTCGTAAAAAGGAATTCAAGAATTCAAGAAAGGACTACCAGTTTAAGTTTTGGGTTGCCATTAAAAATCTTTAGAATTGCTGCCCTCTCTTACAATGTTTCCAAAAGAAGTGCTCTCCAAGTTGGCTGGAGGGCCAAGCATCCAAATGCAAATGAAAAGTCAGTAAAACTTTTTTCTTTTTAATTAAGATTGAAAAACTAGGCCTTCCACTCATTTTTGGAAATAAGGTTTATTTTTAGAACACAGCCAAGTACATTCTTGTATGTATTGCCTATGGCTGTTTTCATACTATAACTGCAGAGTTGAATAGCTGTGACAGAGACCATATGGCCCACAAAGCCTAAAATATTTACTATCTGTCCCTTTACAGAAAAGTTAATTGACCCATGCTTTATACAATCCTCTAAATAGGAGATATTTTGCTAACATGAATTAATTTCCAAAATCTACCAATTTTATATTCACATTTAAATTATAACTCTTTATACATTTTTTCTTTTACAAAATTTTTTTTAAAAATTCTACTTTTTCAACAGGTAGCCATTTTAATGTAATATTATTAGTTTAATTCTACTTTCTGTTTTAGGTGAGAATGTATTAAGAACTTGGATGTAAAGAGGATAAAACAAACTTTTGTATAGCCAGTGGTTCTCAAGGCAGTTTGGGGACCTTTGGGGTCCCTGAAACCCTTTCAGGAGGTCCTTGAGGTCAAAACTATTTTCATAATAATATTAAGATGTTACATGCCCTTTTCACTCTCAGTTTCTCAGAAGAATAGAAAAAATTAATTGATGTAGTTTTAGATTTGATATTGCAACTAACTTTTAAGAAAATACCACATTTTAATGTAATATTAAAGAACATTCACAATTATCTGAAAAGGCTATTATAATTTTCTCCTTTTTTCCGGCTATCTATCTAGGTGAGGACAGATTTTCTTCATGTATTTCAATCAAAACACAAGAGATAATAAGCAGATATGAGAAACCAGCTTCCTCTATTAAGCTAGTGATGGAAAAAACTTGCAAAAAAATGTAGAGCAATGCCACTTTTCTCATTCCATTTCTTTAGGTTATTTTTAATAAAAAATACTTCAATTATTTTTAAGTTTTAATTTTTAACATGCATGGTAAATATGGATATAACACAAGTAAACAAAAGTTCTTTGAGTTCCTCAAAAAAGTGGTGAATTTGAGTCCCAAAAGTTTGAAAACTGCTGCTGCAGACCAAGATCCCTAGCTCTATCGGTTTAAAGAATCTTGCCAGACTACCTGCTGCTTAGGTTCATCTCTGTCAGCACCTCTGAGGACTCTGGTCATACATACGCATGAGTAAGCCACACTGAGAAGTATAAATCTATGCTGCTCATAAAGTTAAAAAACAAAACAACTCCATTATATTATTTCTAGTCAATGATTTCAATTTATTTAAGGTCTGTGTTAAATAACTTAGACAAATGGAACAGTAGTATACTATACCTGTGGTGTTCTAAGAAAGGAGAAGTCTGGTTGTGGCATTCCAACAAGGGAACACATTTGAGAAAGTTCAGTTACTGGTGTGGACACAGGAGTGATCTGGCTGGGAGCAGGCCAACATGCATTGTCCATAGACTGAACATTATGGTACTCACTAGCACTGTGAGTCTTGTTCATATAAGATGCTACCAAAAGAGAGAAGACGGCAAATCTATATTCAATGATATTTTGATTTATGCAATTATTGCAGGGTTTTATAGACTAGTAAGCAGGAAATTGTTAAAAGGTAAACAAAGGAATCTCCCATGAAGCAAAGATAAGAATTATTTAGTATTGCCTAAAAATTACTAAGGATTCACTTGAAGATTTTTAGATGATTATAATGAATGATACATAACTAAGACAAAGACTTTAAAATATGATGTGTCTGACTGCCAAAAATTAACATCTTGAAATAATGATTACATAATTATGTTATAGGTAAAATTTGAACAAGTGAATGGCTCCAATTCTTAAGTTTCAAAGCTTTGGCTTCCGTCTTCTCAAAATTTTATCTTACATTCTGAGACACATGTATAAATTATTTTTATCTAAAATACTCCAAAATGATGCTTAATAGTTTTTCTGGTATTAACTCTTTTAAGTGATTTTATGCATAAGATGATTTAAAAATCCTGAAAGTTCACATTCTTTATGATCAACAAACTAATAGAACATTCGTGCACTCTATGTGAAGAATGAATCGAAACCTCTTACTATTATAGGTTAAAAAAAAGGTTAGGTGGCTTGTCCATAGTCACAGAACTGTAACATGGGCTGGAGTCTGAGCTCTTGACTCTAAGGTGTATGATCTTTTTCACCATACTGAAATATAGTTAAAGTTACTTGTTGACAGTGGGACCATCTTTATCCAATTTTGTTTCAAATTTTTATTTTGCTCTATTTCAAGAACATGTCTGTGATAAATAGTTTATGATCAACTATTATAGTTTCTTTAATAGTTATTGGAATTTTTAATTATTTATCTTAATATTCAACTAGAGTATAAATGGAGCTCACACTGGCTTTGTTCCAGATTGTGATCCTTAATAAACTCAGATCTGCTCACTTCAAAATGCTTTTTTACATCCCTGAGAAATGTCTGTCCCCAACTACTTTTGCACTAGTCATTCTTCCTGGTAGGCTTTTGTAGAAAATTACATAGACAAAAATACTAAAGTATAGGGGACATGGCGCGTAGGAGCAATGATAAACATGTATTGAAATTCAGCTATATGACAGATGGTTGGTAGGCTACAAACTTCAATGATTTAAGGTAAGCACATACTTTCCATTATATGCCTCCACTAATTATTTACAATATCTATTTTTATATTGGTCAAGTTATTTTAACATTACACTAATTATTGGCACCTATGATGTACCAGACACAGTGCTAACTGCCTTTATATATGCCATACAATTATCCCAACAGTCATTTGCAATGTTCTCATTTTATAAATAGGAAAAAAAATTAGAAAAGTAATGTGTTGTTACATAATCATTTTAAAATTGCTGAGAATAAAAATCTAGCATGTGAAAACCTTTCCAGGTTTGGGATCTACAGAATGAATACCTGCAAACAGTACAATTTTAGTAATCACAAGACATTTAGAGATTATAGATCTATTAGTTACATAGTTTTATTACGTAGATGACAGAAGCATAAAAATTTTATTCATTACTCTTAATTATACTCTCAAAAATAAAAGTTTTAGCTTTACAAAACGTAAGATAAAAAAGAACTGAATTTTTGAAGTGATATTGGTTAGTAGTAATAGCACTGAGTTTACTTACTTAATTTCTTATTTTGTTTAGGCTGTGAAGAAAGTCCATATTCATTTCCTCTACTAGAGGAAACAGTGACTTCATTACCAAACTGCTTCATTTTGTTCTTGCAGTCCACAGTGTCAGAGCCATCAATTTTTAGAATTTCTTTAAGCATCCGAGTTCCTTTCTGGTTTGAGAATGATTGGTATGGAGATGGTGGGAGGTGGGAGAAGAAAAGTTAACATTAGAGTTACAGGGTTTATTGATCCTTCTTTTAATGAGTTCTATTGTTAAATATTGAGATGATAACTACATTCAGATAGGTGGTAAGCAAAATCAATAATCTAGATTGAAAAAAAAAATCCACATTTCCTGGCATAGAAACAATACTTAACCTTCTATTTAACTTTTGACCAAATCACCTAGGAGCAATGTTTGAAACCAAGGGAGCTAGCATTCTAAAGAGAAAAAAGAAAAAGATGGCTAAACTGCCCAGGGCATCTGGCTTTCCCTCACAGGATGACAATAATGATGCAACACACACTCTAGACATGTCATAAAAGTGTTTTAACAGTTGCAGGGGTATGTATGCATGGCCAGCCATAGTGAAATTACCATAGAATAGAAGCTCATACAAAATACGAACCATAGCAAATGACTGTGGTGACAAATGTTCTTCACTTGTAAGTTCTTCATGATGAGATGACTGTACTTCATTTTGTGTGGAGATATTCAAAGATGCTAAAAAGTTCTCAATTCCACGGTTATGCTGAAAGAATAAATATTTTGTGCATGAAGACAAAAGTACAAGGAATGAAAAAAGCTAAGAGTTTTATGTACAAAAATGATCATTTTATTTTTTATCCAATTGTCTTCCTAGGTGTTAAAATTTGGGAAGAAAAATTGAATAAATGGTCTGTTACCTTATCAATAGCATTTGGATAACCAGTCACAAACTTTTGGTTGTCTGAGACTTCTGTATTTTCATTTCTCTTCAGTAGCTTAGTATTACATTTGACAGGTCCTCCAAAAGTCTATAAAAGAGTAAGAATGAGCTTTTTGTGCAAGTAAAATTTATAGTTACTTCTGAAGAGTGTTCTAAATCACTGTAAACTTTTTTACATTTTTTAATGTCACGAGATATTTTCCTTTCATGTCATAAGAAAAAAAGGGGGCCTGTCACTTGAATGAAGAAAAATCTTTATCTTCAGTAACTGCTACATGAGATTTAGCATTCCCTTCAATTATGATTTGAAGGTGATAGTTTGTAGGCAATAAGCTACAACTGAAGTGATTCTAATTGTACTTCAATGTAGTTGGTTTTTTCCAAATCTTACATGCTTTATTTTAGCATTAAAAACATTCTGAGAAAGAGTTCAATTGCTTCACCAAAGAGGTCCATGGCACAAATAATTTATAAATTCCTTCTCCATAAAAAGGAAGCGTAACATAAAATCTTCAGAGGAGAGGGCCTTAAAAGTCACGTAATTCAACCATTTAATGGTATCTAAATACTAATGGGTTCCATTTACTTAGAACTAACTTTATTGTCATGTGCCAAATATTCTGCTAAGATGTCTTTTATAGACTTAATATATTACTAGTTGATGGGATATAATTTTTAAACTTTGTATTAAAATATAGTATGTATATAGAAAATGCATGTAAGTATATATTTTGAATGTTTTTAGACTAAAAATGTATTCTTTGGTTATAACATATATACATACTCCTTATATAAGACTATATAAAATAAAGCATAATTGATCTCAGCTTCCACCAACCTAAGTCCTCAGACTTGTTAACTTTGCTGAGTTGATCAACAGAATTTCATTGTATATATAAACATTTTTCCACATGTTTTATACATATATACCTATGTACATTCCTGTATGTATGTATATACAGACTATATATATTGAGAGAGACAAGTGATCCCTTTTAATTTCCATTTTAAAGATGAAGAAATTGAGGCTGTGAGAGGTATAGTGAATTGCTCAAGGCCACCCAATTATTAAATGCAGAACCAGGACTGCAGGTATCTCAAGTCCCAAATTCTGGACTCTAGCATTGTAACCTCCTATCAAGTGACAACCAGGCAACACTTAAACAACTCTCCTACCTGATACCCAATGGATTTGGTTGAAAGGGTCACAAAATTCAGATAACAGAGCCATCAATTGCAATAGTAACTTGGCTACTAGATACTTGATGTTAAGAAAGCTTACCTGCTTATTTGACATTTTTTGTGACCGACTATCAGTTTTAGGACTCTTACACTCTTCTTTAACTAGAACAAGAAAATAGAAATTTTGATAAATGAAAAAACCTGCTGCACACCAATTAAATTGACCAAATACCACAGCAAGACACTGTGTAAAAAATTCCAAGAAGACAAAGGCTTTGATATTGAGAACTATCACTGAGATGAGGTGGAGAAGAAATACTCACAGATAATAACAATAAGGGAAAAGAAAAAGTGGCATTTCATTGAAACTTGAAGGATGGTAGGTTTCCAAAGGGCAGAATAGGAAGCTAAGCATTTCAGGAAAAGGAAACAATAGGAGAAAAGACAGAACCAGAAAGCAAGCACTGTATTTATGGAACTCTAAACAGACCAGTTCTCCTGGAGGTTAAAGAGTATAATGGTGCTCAACTGGTAGTAGGCAATGGGAAACAAATCATGGAAGTGTTTTGAGCAAGTAGTGAGCTGATCAGAATTGTGCCTTAGAAGACTGAAATATGGTAGTGGCCAGCTGGATTCACAGAAGGAGATTAAGAGATCAATTAGAAAGCTATTTTAGTCTTCCTGTTAAGGGGGAATTGGGGAATGGTAGAAGAAATGAAAAGGATGAATTAGAAGAGGAAGGAAGAAAGAAAAAAAAAAGGAAGGAAGGAGGGAGGGAGGGAGAGGAAAGAGAGGGTAAGGGGGTGAAGAAAAGAGGCAGGGGAAGGGAATAAGATAGAAGGGTTGGGATGACAGAGGAGCAAAGGAAGGGGCAAAGATGGGAAGAGAGGGAACAGAGAGAGGGGAGAAAAGAAAGGCAGATGGGGCAGGAAGAAGGGAAGGGAAGGAAGAAAGAGAGGGCAAGGGAAGGAAGTAATCTTACAAAAGAAGGAAAAGAAAAAGTGAGTTGACATGTATGACATTAAACCTGAGTTGGGGTGGGGAGGCAGAGGGCGGAGTAGGAAGGCAAAATGGAAACCTCCTCCCACATGCAAACCGAGGAAGCAACTAAGGCAGATACAACTAACCCTGAAAGTGACCTGAAGGCTGCAGAACAGACCATCTACACCTGGTGAAGAGAAGACCATACAGAGAAGGATAAAGTGTCAGAGCAATGATCAACTGGGACCCCAGCCATTATCCAATTCCAGCCCACAAGAAGGAGGGAGAGGAGCGGAGCAGGGAGGGAAAGGGGATAAATGCTCAGGAACTCTTCATACATGGCCCTGGAGATCTGCTCTGGGAACACAAGTCCACATTGCATTGGGCTTTAGTGATTAATGGGGCTGGACACCAGGGAGAGTTGGAGCACTCTGAGAGGCTGAGATTCTAGTCACTTGTGGAGGACAGGCATGCTCCCATCCATTCTGCTGAGACCCAACACAGAGGAGACCATTTGAAAGATTTAACAGCAACAGGAAGGGTACCATAGGGGCAAGAGTTGGGCAGAGTTTTCTCTGCAGAAGAAAGGGCAGGTGGACACTTCCCCAGCCTTCCCTCAAACCAACAGGTCAGGCGCTCATGGGAGTCTTGAACACTCCATCACCTTCAATGGTGGTTCTGCTCCAAGATGCTTTCCTATACACATGCCTGCTCACTGACCAGCTGGGCCCAGCAGTGGTCAGACTTTGCTGCTTGGCAGGCAAAGGGAGGCTTTCTCAGCTTTCTTAGCCCTGTCTCAGTCCAACTGGGCAGAAGCCTGTGGGAGCCACCTCCAAGCATTCCTTCTTCCTCACTGGTGGTGCAGCACAGCGCCATGATATCCTGAGTACTGGCCCCAGCCACCCCGTCAGCCCAGCAAAATAGTCATTGCTGCAGGCCAGGCAGAGGGCAGCCCTGCCCACAACAGTCTTAGCAAAAGCACTGCTGCTCGGCTTACAAAGGGCAAGCTGAGGTGAGCTACCACCTGTGGTGGACTGAGATCAGGCACTACTGGCAGATAGGCAGAAAGGTGGCCTGCCCATAGCCCACCAACATCAACTGGGGCTCCACCACAAAGGAGAAGCAGACACTGGTGAGTAAAGAGTCTTGAGCTTCTAGGAACCACAGGATGCCTTCTTCATAAAGCTATTACTCGCTAGAACAGGCGGCAAAGCAGAGCCATCTAATAAAGGAAGAAACACAGCAACTGTGGCAAAATGACGAGGCAGAGGATATATGTTCCAAATAAAAGTACAGAATAAGGCACCAGAAAGAGGGCTAAATGAAACAGAGATCATCAATCTTCTTGATAAAGTTGTCTAATTAACAGTCATAATTATGCTCACTGATCTGTGGAAAAGTATTGATGATCTTAGGGAAGAATTCAACAAAGAGACAGAAGAGTTGAAAAAGAGCCAGAGCTAAAGAATACAGGAACTGAAATGAACATACAATGGAGGGATTGCTGCAAGTAAAGGAGACAACCAATGAGATGAAAATTAGAGAACAGAACACAATGAAGCTGAAGAACAGAGAGAAAAAAGAATATCTAAAAATGAGAGGATGCTAAGAGAGCTGTATGACAACTTCAAACAAAATAATAATTGCATAATAGGGGTACCAGATGGAGAAGAGACAAAGGAGTAAGAAAATCTCTTTGAAGAAATAATTTCTGAAACCTCCCCCAATCTGGGGAAGGAAATAGACACCCAGGTACTGGAAGCCCAGAGAGCCCCTAACAAAAGGAACCCTAGGGAGAAAACACCAAGACATACAATAATTAAGTGATAAAGATTAAGAATAAGGAGAGGGTATTGAAAGCAGCCAGAAAGAGAAAATAGATTACTCATAAGGGAAACTCCATCAGACAACCAGCAGACTTCTCAGCAGAAACTTTACAGGGCAGAAGGGAGTGGCATGAAATATTTAATGTATTGAAACAGAAGGACCTTCAACCAAGAATCCCATTTCCAGCAAGATTGTCATTCAAATTTGAAGGAGATTAAAAATTTCCTAGATAAATGAAGGCTGATGGAATTTACAACTTCTAAACTGGCATTACAGGAGTAAAGGGACTTTTGAGATGGAAATGTTCTTAAGCCTAAATAGTTTTCACCAGTGAAAATAAACTCACAGTAAAGGTAACAGACCAACTGATTATCAAGCAACTATGAAATTAAAACAAAAGTAGTAAAACCAATTATACACAAGATCAGTGAAGGGACACACACAAAAAAAAATGCAAATTATGACATCTAAAACCTAAAGTGTGAAGGAGGAAGAATAATAACAAAGAAGTACTTTTAGACTGTGTCCAAATAAAAGTGACCATCAACTTAAAATAGACTGTTACATATTTAGGAAACTATCCATGAACCATATGGTAACCACAAACCTAAAACCTATAATAGATAACACAGACACACACCATACATACAAAAGAAATCCAATCACAGCACTAAAGAAAACCACTGAATAACAAGAGAAAAAAATGCAAATTATGACATCTAAAACCTAAAGTGTGAAGGAGGAAGAATAATAACAAAGAAGTACTTTTAGACTGTGTCCAAATAAAAGTGACCATCAACTTAAAATAGACTGTTACATATTTAGGAAACTATCCATGAACCATATGGTAACCACAAACCTAAAACCTATAATAGATAACACAGACACACACCATACATACAAAAGAAATCCAATCACAGCACTAAAGAAAACCACTGAATAACAAGAGAAGAAGGGTGTAAGAGAGAAAGGAACAGAGAGAAACTATAAAAAAAAGAAAACAATAAATTGGCAGTAAGTATATACGTATCAATAATTACCTCAAATGTAAATGAACTGAATGCACCAATCAAAAGACAGAGAATGGCAGAATGGATAAAGAAACAAGAGTCATAAATATGCTTATTTCAGAGTTAATGACATACATCGTCTGAAAGTGAAGGAAATGGAAAAAGATATTTCATGCAAATAATAGGGAGAAAAAAGCAGGAATAGTGTACTTATATCAGACAAAACAGACTTCAAAACAAAGAGAGTAACAAGAGAAAATGAAGGACATTACATAATGATAAAGGGATCAGACTCACAAGAGGATGTACAGTTATGAGTATCTATGCACTCATCATTGAAACATGTAAATGTGTAAAACAAATACTAACAGAGCTAAATTCAGACTGCAATTCAATCATATTAGGTGACTTACCACCCCAGTTACGTCAATGGACAGATCATCCAGACAGAAAATAAATAAGGAAACAGAGGCACTGAACAACACTTAGATCACATGGACTTAACAAATATCTATAGAATATTCCACCCAAAAGAAGCAGGATACATATTTTTCTCAAGTGCACATGGAATGTTCTCAAGAAAATATCACATACTAGCCTACAAAAAGAGCCTCAATAAATTAGAAAAGATTGAAATTGTATCAAGCCACTACTCAGACCACAATGGTATATGAAACTGGAAATAAATTATACAAAGAAAACAATAACGCCTACAAACACATCAAAGCAAAACAACACACTTCTAAATATTCAATGGCTATATGAACAAATCAAAACAGAAAACAAGCAATACATGGAGACAAATGAAAACAAAAATACAACAGTTCCAAACTTGTGGGATGCAAGATAAGAGGTTCTAAGAGGGAAGTACACAGTGATATGGGCCAACTTCAAGAAAGTAGGACAAGCGCAAATAAACAGTTTAATCTCACAATTAAAGAAACTAGAAAAAAGAAGAAGGAAATCAAAGTTGGTAGAAGGGGCATAATAAAGATCACAGAAGAAGTAAATAGAATAGAGAAGAATAAAACAATAGAGAAAAAAATCAATGAAACCAAGAGCTGGTTCTTTGAGCAGGTAAACACAAGAGACAAACCCCTAACCAGACTTGTCAAGAAAAAAAGAGAGAGGACACAAATAAACCAAATCAGAAATAAAAATAGTCACAATGGATACAACAGAAACACAAAGAACTACTGTTAAGAATTCTATGAAAAATTATATGCCAATAAATTGGACAACCTAGAAAAAGTGGAAAAATTCCTAGAAATGTACAACCTTCCAAGTCTGGCCCAGGAAGAAAAAGAAAATCTGAACAGACCAATTATCAGTAATGAAATTGAA